ATAATAAGTAATTCCAGTGTAAACAATGGCTGATTTAATGTTGACTGGCGAAGTTCTTCCTCCTTACAGTTACTGGGATAGTTACTGAAGTGTGCGGTTCAGATGTGCCGTGTCTACGATCATTGAAATCAACCGGCTTACTTTCCTCCATCTTACATTCAAAGATCACTGCAAAACTGTGATTATTCATCATCATTATTATTAACGCCGAGTTCTTAGCTCCAAAAGCTTATAGAATTAACACATTCAATGTTGAAATTTTAAGCCAGCATCTCGTGTAAAATCATTATTCTATCCTCACTATATTTGATTTTTATGTTCCCATCAATTGCATAGAAGTTCAATAAAGGGAATTTTATAATAGATTCCAAATCTTTCATTTATGTGTGTATTTCCCGTTAAAATCAGCAATTGAAATGCAATACCTGAAACTCATCTTTCGAAAAGAGAATTTGTTTACACGTTTTTACTCTCAGAAGGTCCCGTTGACGTAAACTGGATAAGCCATGTTCTATGTTCATTCAAATAATTTTCATTGAGGCGTGCTAACTTTTTTGCTCATTTAACCACTACTCAATGAGTCCAAATTTTACGATTGGAGTGAGGATGTCCAGATTCATCGACATACACCCTTTGAATATGAGCCAGATACCAATAAAAATGATTTTATGACAATGGATAAATGATTGATAAATGAAATGAAATGGCTATTGAAAATTGATCTACCCGTGAGAATTTACGATTATTTGCACAATGAATATTTACATCGGATATCTTTCAAAAAATATTTCCTCACAGCACTGGCAGACTGACGGCGATACATTTACTGGCGACCTGAAACTTTTTCTATTTTCAACGAGCGTAGATGCGACCGTCTCACCGATAGCTGCCAAGTGGAAGTCGCCTGCAGTGAAGACGCAGCCAATCACAGGGGAGTTGTCGGGCCAGTAGAAGGTGCCGTTGTTGTGAGTTTGGTGGGCGCTCAGCCAGGCTGTCTTACCTACAGCGAATAACCACGTTCTATATGCCATCTTCTGCAGTAGATACAAAAAAAAGTAGGCACAATTTCATTTTCGTTTATTAAACATTGGAAACTACACGTAGCTCATTTTTCTGGTCAGCTCAAGATGATTCACTTTTCTGTTTAATTATGGTTCAACTTATTGTATGAAAATCAAACAGGGGCCGCATTATCAAAACTTCGTAACTTTTTGTACTTCCGACAAAAAAGTTACGTGTTACGTAAGTAAACCCTAATTTTGGCATTATCAAAACATTCGTACGTAAGGCTTAGCTAAAAGCGTACTATCAAAACCATCTGGCCAACTGACCAATCAGAGGCTTGGGATTTGTTTACATTCTGTGAACTTCGATGGCGGGAATCGATGCCTTCGATGCTAATGCTATCGACTATCGAATGCTGTCTGTCGGTATTACTCCTTGTTGGCTCAGAAAAAGCCGTTCCAAAATAGTTGTTAACACTTTTTAATAAACAGCGTGAGTTGAAGAAGAAATCTGTGTCCGGAGCTAAAAATTATGGTTGGCAAAGATATAAAGTACCGACTAGAAGGAATGAATGATGAGAGTTGGGCGCGAAAGCTTGAGAGTTGCTTTTGCCGAACATTTTATATTGCATTATACGTAAACGAACATTTTATATTGCATTAAGGTAAACAAAAATCAGTTTCTGGCATTAACTCAATTGATTTTTTTTTCAATAGCACTGTTTAGCACGATCACATATTTTGATCGTGCAAATGTTGCACGATAAGGTAGTGGAGATATCACAAGTAGAGCCATCATTCTATTCGTTTATAATCCGCGCTGTCGGATTATTGACAAAATTCTATCACAAGTCAAGGTGTTGCTACTTGCTAGTAAATCAATAGTTTCATATCGCTTCAGCAGACACTCTAAACATGTGGGGAACTTCACTTACGACATCTCCGAGCAGGCGTACAGTTACGTTACGTATCTTCCCGCGCAAATGTTTTGATAATACCACCTTTAGAGTTACGTCATAAAGTCAGCACTTACGCCACTCGTAGGTCGATTTTGAGTACTTACGAAGTTTTGATAATACGGCCCCAGACCAGTAGAAAATTGTGAGATTCAGGATTAACTCCTTTTATGGAGATTAACTCCATAAAAGATAGTAAATTATAAATTTAGGAAACTTACTTCTACAAGTATGATAGTTCTTCATAAGAGGAGGAAACCATAAATTCTAATATGGACCATTCAACCAATACTTGTTTTCGAGCTTTACATAACCTTACATGAGCCTTAACATTCCTGCTTCTACATGTCCTGTGAATCAAGTTGAAAATATGGCCAAAGTATATTACCAGCGACGAGCTGCCTAGCTTCTCGAAGCAGTTGCTTGGTGTTGATGATGAGCGGAACCCCGCCTTCTGCACCGCACATCTTCTTCAGGTTGTCGGGAGATCCGTTGTTGGTTTCGCCTTTGGTGATGAACGCTTCTCGAAAAACTAGGAAAAATAATCATTCGGTATACGAAAAGGATATTTTCGAGGTGTCTAGTGGGCGTCTCCATAAAACGAAAAATTGCACTTCAACGTAAAATCTCACCAAACTTGAATACTGCAGTTGGAAGTATTAAAGATTTCATGCTGTCTCAAGACCTCTATTTATTGGTTATAATTACATGGCATTATTGCAAGCTGCGTTGCTTAATTAAACGGCATGTTTGATAAATTGTTCATAACTTTCTGGATAGACGCAAGAGAAGCTCCAAAATATCGGCGTCGTGGATAATCGAATTATTTGCTTCATCTTACCATTAGATGACTCTTCACAGTTGACGGGCAATTTTTAATGGCGCATTAAGAATAAAACGGAGAGAACTTTCTAAATGCATAGGGTTCCACCAGTCTAAGCCAATGATTTTAGCTTTGTTGAGGCTACTGTCGTCTGCTCGAATCTTGTAATATCGTAGAGCTAAAATCAGCGATGATATTTTTTCCAGTAGAAAACCATATATTAATTTCATTATTGAACTCAATTAAGCTTCTTAACAATCCGTTATCAATCTAGCAGTTGTGTGAAGTGTAAAATTTTAGATGTGCGATTTGGTTCTTCCAGATTCGAAGATAACCATATAACGGAGCAACTAAATGAAATATTGTTTAATAAAGCATCCCCATCAACCAATCACAGCTAGAAAGCAGATAACATTACAATTCCTTTATCTAATCACAGCTGGAAAGCTGAAAGGGGCTAAAATCACAATCCTATCAACCAATCTCAGCTGGAATTCTGGAAAGGGATAGGATATGTACATAATGGACTGAAAGTGTAAAGTTCCTGGGCTTTCCAAGCTTTCAGGTCCTGCTTTCCAATATGCTATGTGTAGGGTAAACGCGGAATATTCCGACATCATAGGTAATTCCGTCACCTCTCCAGCTTTTCCTTTATATTAAGCAAAAAATTGAAATTTGCTTAATTAAAAGCCTAATAGCTGTTAATTAAAACGTAATTAAGTAGTGTTCAATATTCGTTAGCGTTCTAATTCAAAGCCGTGTTGTATCCCAATACAGCTCACACAGCAAACGGAATTCGAACACGTGGATGTTGGCAATACGTATCAGTTGAATTTGAAGTGCTGACTCAATACGACACCACGTGTCGGATGTTGCCACACAAAGTGACGGAATATAGGGATTTGGCAGGTTTCCATTCTAAAGGCTTTTTAATAAATATGGCAACATTTTGTGACGTTTCATCGTTGCTGACGCGTAGTGAACTTGTGAAGTGTTTTGAGAGTCATGTGAAGGCAACAGAACTTACGCAACGCATAGGTACGTTTTTTTATAGTTTTTCATTTCACAATGTTTTGTAAGTATTTAATGCAATAATATAGAGAATATAACTATCTCTTCAACATTACTGACAATAAATGTATATAAATCCCAGTCCCCTGAAAGTCGCCAGAAGTTCACAAGTCCAGGGGCGCCTTGTTTATACTTTATCACACAAAAACAATAATAATCAAACATGTTGACTGCGTTGAACACCTGATAGGTATATTAATTAATAACTTAGTTACACAGCAATTCGCTCAAGACAGAATCATGAATACAGCCAGCAAATCGCAAGATCAACGATGTTAATTGTTAAAAGATAATTTCAATTTTCCTGCACATATGAGGGCCTTAATTTCGCGTAACCTGCGCCCGCCACACACGACATTATACTGTCCCTGTGTACAGGCACCTATACACAAGGCTAGTAGCGTGGACAGTTCAAGCGGCGGATGAACTGGCGTCTGGCGGCCAGTACTGTCCCTGTGTAGTGTGTACACTGTACAGGCACCTATACATGAGGCTAGTAGCGTCACCTAGCGTGGACAGTTCAAGCGGCGGATGAACTGGCGGCCAGTACTGTCCCTGTGTACAGGCACCTATACACGAGGCTAGTTGCGTGGACAGTTCAAGCGGCGGATGAACTGGCTGCCAGTACTGTCCCTGTGTACAGGCACCTATACACGAGGCTAGTAGCGTGGACTGCTCAAGCGGCGGATGAACTGGCGGCCAGTACTGTCCCTGTATACAGGCACCTTATGGCACTGTCACTCCAAATGGCAGTTATTAATCATAGCGTTTGTATAACAACAACCTGGTAACGATAAGGGTAGGGAAATAAAATGCATGGACGAGCGAGCAATAATGACACAAACGAGCAGTGTATAGTATGACAGGGGCGCGCACGGCCTACACACGTTCAGAGGCGAGACAGCGGTGATGGTGCAGTGGTGAGAGGCTCTGTCTCTCGCACCCAGCTCCCGGGTTCGAGTCCCACTGAGGACAAGTTCTTCCGGGAAGCTCAGCTCATGGTCAACTCAGCCATTCATCCAACTCTGGTTGATGAATGAGTACCTGGCTTGTCCAGGGTGTTGTGTATGTACTGCGATAAAATGGTTCTGGCGGGTCAGCGAGCCAGTGATGGTCGTAGAACTACCAGTGGTACCGAGTGTCCGGAAAAACTGGCCTATCACCCCCTCCCTAGTCGCCACTACCAGGATGGACAATTACAACAACAGACAGATAGCTCTTGTATCACGACACTCTGCTCGTTTGTCGTCACATTTCTCGCTAGTCCCACACTCAAACAACATTTTTTATTAAATAAATGCTTCTTCAGATGATATTTGTTGGCGCGCACACAGTGACGCCGGCAAGATGCACACATCGCGCTACTGACATCAGGTTAGAGAAGAATTATTCTTCATCGTCGTGTGTGTTTGTGTGAATACAGAGACACAATCACACTCTCTTCTTCCCGACAACTGCGCCTCTCCACCTGCACAAATAAAAACATTAATGCGCACACATCTCTCGCGAGAAAACAACACATCTCTCGCGCAAACAACATCTCTCGGAGGATAAACAGAAAACAACAACCTATATATATGCTCCCCTCTTCTAACAAAAGGAGAGGGGGTTCACAAGCACACACACAAACAAACCACACGACAACGGAAATGAATATTGTGTGTGCGTGCGGAAGCGCTAATGCTTGACTAAATTTAAAGTTTGAAAGCTCTAAGATTTCAAATATTACTTAGAGAAAAAATATCAAATGGACAAAGTCTGCACACACAAATATATATATTCTAAACGAGTAAAACTAATATTCTCAATAGGCAAAATAAAATCTAGAGAGAGCACTAATAAACGGGAACGAGAGAGAGCAAAAAAATACAGAAAAATCACGCAGGCCGGGTTAAGATGAACACTTACGTAGCAATACTGTGCCGCCAGGTCTATCCGACATCCGGACCTCTTCTTGGTGGATGGAGCCTTCCGGTGCAACCCGTCGTTCCTCCCGTGGCAGGCCAAAAAACACACGGACACAACTTACAGCCGGGCAACAAACAACTACACAGCTGTAAAAATAAATTAGATTAATATAACAGTAAAGGATGTATAGCTTGACGATTAATTGTAACCAAGCACTGCACGCTAAACTATATAAAGAAATGTGTGTTTGCGCAAGAGAAACTTATCAGCTAACCTTAACAAAACAAGCAAGGGACGTAGTCATAATTAAATGGAACCAAGATCAATTCAAGTAAGAGCAAAGAACCACAAAAAATCTAAGCGGATGATACCAAAAACATACACTATTAAACAATGCACAATGACCGAGACAGTTAAGTATAGCTGCCTAGTTTAAAAAAATAGAAATCCCGAAAAATGCACAACAAAAAAAAAACGCAAGTATATTAAAATGAGGACAAAACATAAACCTATATCTAAACAATTATATATACATATCCCTATATATACCTATATAAGAGAGATAACGACTAACCAGCATGGCCGAGCACGAGTGTGGTGTGTGACAGGACTGTCATGCCTTAGTATTTGTTTCGGACGTATAGCAGTCCCAGGCCACGATGGATCGGGCGCGCACCGTGCCTCCTCCTTCTTTTTCATCCGCCCCCGAATGACGATGCAGTGGCATGAATCACTTTCATATCTATGTCGCCGATGTGAATGAGGTTGGGCCCAGTATCGTTTCCTGTGGTACTCTGTGACTCAGAGTACTCAGGAGGTACTCTGTGACATCTCTCTTCCCTCTTCACACCCTAGCCTCGCTCTCGATATCTCGCTCGAGTCTCCAATAACTACAGCTTCTTGTCTTGGTGTTAGGAAGCCTCCAAATTTGTGAAGTGTTACAACTAAAGCGCGTGTGGGACACTGTGCACAATTCCTTCATTCAATAACAGAGCCGCGGCCAGAGTTGAAAATCTTCGTGAGGGATCACTCCTGTCCGTGGTAGGACTACCACCAAGGCTGTTTGAACCAAAGGTGCTGAGAAGAGAGGGAGGATTTTATTACCATTGAGACTTTCAAAAGACAACTGGATAAGTTCCTGAAGAAGATCTCGGATTGTCCACTTATGGAAAAAACTACCCTCAGCATGTGACAATCAAACAACATCTTGCGTCAGCTGGCCCAAAGGAGAGCAAAACAGACGCAAAATACACGTTCAACGTTACATCCGCGGTATTCGAGGGCGGGGAGAAATCTGCCTAGCGACGACTCGGAGACGTAGGACGACCATAGCGGAGCATCAGCTTGACATTGGACTACAAAGTCCTAAACTCATCAAAGCAATCCATGCTCATCCTTTTTAAATCGCTTTCGCGCGCGCGCGCGCCAACTCCAAATTCACCACACGTCCACCCCCCGGCCACCTCCGCCACAGCATGGCCAGAATTTGGTGGTCTTGGTCCAGTAACCATTTTTTCCAATAAACACACTCAGCTGAGGACAAAAAGACATATTTAGGTGAGGTAAAGGCAATTAAGGCCTGAGGCAAATAACATAGATAAATAAACAGAAAGAAAGGCTGTCATTATGATATGAAAATTTTTTTCAGAAAATTTTTCAATATAATATGACAAACACATATGTGTGTGTGTGTGTTTTAACCTTACAGCGTTTGACGCGCTTTCATTTGTCTATCAATTGGGCCTATTATATATAATGTATCTACTGATGTGAACTGACCTGCATCAAATAAACAGCATCTTACACATATCAGCTGGAGGGTGCAAATGCATGCACTTACACACAAGGAACATGTTAAACATCGTCACATCAGGAGGACCTGCAGGTGCACCATTTAATGAATTTTCATCCGCATATGATTTTGAGCGCACACCTCCAACTGCACAAAAAAAATACACTATCATTAAACATGAACTTTGCAATCACTAATATATGTCCAATGCAATATGTACAATGCAGCAGAGTCTGTGTTTGTGCATTGAAAAAAACTTCACACACCCACCCCCTTTTTTGCATTCAGAGGAAAAAACAAATGCAAACCACTAGGATAGAAACTCAAGCACAACTGCTCAATCAGTACCGTAAACGGTGTAATAAGGGACGGGCGGGGTAATAAGGGACAGTCCTCCAACACTTTATAGAAATGTTGCAGCAGCTAAACTAATCAAAATTTTGCAAAACTAAAAATAGTGGCGTAAAGTTCAACATTTTTACTATCTATGTAGCATAAAGCAAGTTAAGAAATCAAAATCATACATTTATTACCTCTGAAAAATTCCTGAAAAAAGTGTGAAAAGTGAGATTTTGGACAGGTACCTCTGCTAAGGTCTGTAGCAGAACAAATATTTATCATATTGAAAATTTTTAGTTACATAAAAGTTGCACTTAGGCTTAAAAATGTGATTGACAGAATTTGTGTAGGTATCTCATTCCAAAAAAATATGCCGGTCATTTCTGCAAGACGGGGTAATAAGGGACACCCCTAAAANAAAAAAATTGTAATACTGACTTTATTCTGTTCAATTCTCAAATTTTGGTTAATTTATTCCACAAATTTGACTGTAGAAGAGCAGCTTCTTTTGAAACAAACCTTTTTTCTCCTCATTATTTCTGCCAGATTTTCGAAAGTGGCACCAGACCGCCGCTTACGCCTTACAGCTTATCAACTGATTAAGGTTTGTAAAATTATTAATATATCTATATTATTATACCATACCCAGGATGGTGCAGCGCGTACGCCTGAGGCTTCAACGCAGCATGGCTGAGTGTACGCCAATAAAACAATGAGTGTATGCCAATAAAAAAAAAAAAAAAAAACTAAGGTATTCCAGGTAAGTATGTACGCGTACGCCAGGATGAACTATATGCTATGAAACTCCGGAATCTTCTTCTTCTTTTCTGGGTGTCCACGCTGGGTGGACTTAAAGCCACAGGGGCTATATATTGCATTTATGGATCAAAGTCACTCATTACTGATTACTGAGTGCTTTACTGACACTCAATCAGTCATCAGTGTGAGTATATATAGAATTGATATTGAAACCCAGTGATGCACCAGTCTGTAGAGTATGGCACAACATAGGTCGAGGACGCCGTTATTCTGCCCAAAAGACACCAAGGCACCATCTAATCGGACGGTGGACGCCGCTGTTTGCAGCAAGTGGAGGCGAGGATGCCAAAATTTTAAATTGGCAGGAAGATTCAAGCTAATATAAGGTCGACAATGAAACTGCAAAATAAACGCAAGTTTAGAATTGTAGTAGTAGCAGTAGTAGTAGGATGGTTTGCTAACGGTTCAAATTGCAAGCAAATTCACGCTGCAGGTCAATTGTCAACCCATGAAGCAAGGCGGAAGGTCTCCATCCCGATAAAATTGACTCAAACGAAGCAGTGTCAGCATGTCAAAGAGACGGCTGTGCGTATAGGTACAGATGACAAGCAACAGTCCAACAGACACAAAGACCCTAACAATAGTTTGCTTATAACGAGACATCGACCGCACGCATGGGAGACAGAGAAGCGAAATACAAGGAATCCTACCATAGGCTACCTACATAACACCTGAACCACACAACTGATACCCGCGAGCTGTCTGGCATTACATTGGGGCGTTGAGGAACAATGCGCATAGGACAGAGGAATCTCATAGGACATCTGACGAGTACAGGCACGTGTCATAAATCCCTTCTGAGGGGCAACTTCCACAAATAATGCATCGCTTTATCACCTAGCAATTACAAGTGACGTGAACACATAATGCAAGTCGGCTGTTAACTTTCATTTTAGCTAGTATCACATTAACAAGTGTATAGTCAAAACTAAGATATTACGACATCAAGTAAGCCACCTGCGCCAGTCACTACTATGGCTGCCGATGAACTACATGGCTGAAATAGAATTCATGGATTAGACTTTCTAGTTACATTGTCTTATCCATTTCATAAGGGACATCACATCAGTTCAACATTACCACTGACTTCATTCGACGATCCACTGTTTACAAGACGGAATTGCACGATACTAAATTTTGAGTTTTATTATGTAACATAAAAAGAAATATGATAAATTTAGCAATAAAATTTCTCACTATTATATACGGAGTAAAATAGAAACATGGTAGTAAACGTATTGCCGTGTTAGATGTAAATTCTAAAATAAACCCCCACGCTCTTCCTACGCGAAATACTAGGCACATGATAAACAACGTTCATTGGTTTATGCATAGAAATTGATCGACAGAATTATTATTGATCAAGAAAGAGGCTAAATTAGTATGAAAGAAATAACTTATCATAAATCAAGTGATAAATTTGAAATATATTCCATATCGCTGAGTATTAACTTGTCAACACAATAGGCTTATTTATTTATCATTCAGCTTTTGTTTATAGCAAATTGAAGAGCAGTAAATTGTTCAAACAAAATTAACAAAAAACAAAACACACCAGAATAGGCCTTAGTGGGCTACAACATATCATGATCATTGAAAAAATGCTACCTCAACAGATTGGGACGCCTGCCGAAGACCACCCAGGCACCACTGCCCTAGATGTAATGGACTATCATGATTCCTGCCTTGCTTCCGGAACGTAGCTTTCAACAATTCAAGCCGTCCGTATGATGTAACCGTATCTAGGCCGTGGGTCGAACCAGCCCTCGGCCACTTGTCAAAGTGAAATACTAATAAGAAGAAGAAGAAAAAAATCTTTTAACACACTGGCTAATGAGAGAGGTAGAGACACAGTCACACAGACATGATTGATAAAAAGAAGCAGACATTATAAAGAGACAGTCACGCATACATAAGTCGCTTGGTCTGTCTCTTTACATCAAATTACATGTAAAAAGGGCTTCATTTTTAAAAAAATTGTAACACTGACTTTATTCTGTTCCATGGTGCAGAGGGTGGATGCAGCGTCGCCAATATATGGGTTTTTAAGCCCTAACTCCTAAGCGTCGCCGGGTAATTTTTAATGAAAAGCCATTTATACTGAGTAATGAAAAACTATTTACAAGCCACGAACTTATTTACAATGTTGCATGCACGTGTTACTCCAAATAACTAATTTTACCCTAAAAACAGTCTGATTGTACAGCAAGTGTCAACTGAACATGTGATAATGCAGTCTGACCACTCTAATGTGACCGCAACTACGTAATCGTAAACTTGATGTTTCCATTTTTTTGGTGGGAACTCATCACAACTGATTTCTGGACAAGCTTCACTGCATACTGATCAATCCAACATACCGGAAACCTTACTTTTTTAAATAGTTGGCCGAAGACTGACAAATATATTAAATGAAAGAATTTCAATCTAAATGTGTCGGCAAGATTTTCTGAAGGCATAAATTTTGCTACTGAAGCGTCGCCAAAGATCTTGCAATATTCATCCACTCTCTGCACAGTGGATTCTGTTCAATTCTCAAATTTTGGTTAATTTATTCCACAAATTTGACCGTAGAAGAGCAGCCTCTTTTGAAACAAACCTTTTTTCTCATTATTTCTGCCAGATTTTCGAAAGTGGCACTGGCACCAGACCGCCGCTTACGCCTAACAGCTTATCAGTTATCAACTGAATAAGATTTGTAAAATTATGAATATACCTATATTATTTACCATACCCAGGATGGTGCAGCGCATACGCCTGAGGCTTCAACGCAGCGTGGCTGAGTGTAAGCCAATAAAACAATGAGTGTACGCCAATAAAACAAAAAAAATCAAGGTATTCCAGGTAAGTATGTACGCGAATGCCAGGATGAATTATATGCTATGAAACTCCAGAATCTTCTTCTTCTTTTCCAGGTGTCCACGAGTCCACGACTCCACGCTGGGTGGACTTAAAGCCACAGGGGCTATATATTGCATTTATGGAACAAAGTCACTCATTACCTACTGATTACCGAGTGCTTTACTGACACTCAATCAGTCATCAGTGTGAGTATATATAGAATTGATATTGAACCCCAGTGACACTGACACACACTTACACACAGTGACACACACTGTCACACCACAGTCACACACACACAGAACCAGAAGTTTAATGTCTTATTCTGGCTGCAAAAATTTACTTCTGTTCTCTGAGAATTATTCCTTTTATATATTTGATTGAGAAGAACACAAAGCATTATGAATTTTTTATAATTGTACCCAACTAACCCAAGATCGCAAGATGGACATTGAGCCACTTCTAAATTCTAATGGCAAGCAGGTTCAATAACTGAAATAAAATAAGGAAAAGCCTACAGAACAAGGCAGCTTTCTCATGTTTTTGACTATTTCATTGAAATTTATCCTCAATATAAGCCTAGAGTCTAGAGATGACTTACGGTATGGTATAGTTTGTACCTACTTTGTGTTTTGGGAAGAAGAAAAAGAATTTCTCCCCCTCTCTTCTAAGAATAACATCGGATTCTAATAATATCAATAAAAATTTTAATAAAACTACTTACCAAAATTTGCTTTCACTTTATATTTTACAGGTAATGTTACCAACTTATACCAAGTTGAATAAGTTTAATCAAAATGTTCTACTCCTATCCGTTTGAAATCTTGAAATATGTGACACGGTATTGTTCCGCGTCCGCTTTTGCTTAATATACGGATTTGCGGAAAGAGACCCATACGCTGACATTCTATTTTTGCTGGATATATTAATAATACAAATTTTTAAGATATGTAGCCGTTATCGATGCGAAATGAGATCATTATTTTATTATTGATATTTTAAGGGGCTACGGATGATAGTTTTCAGACAGGCGTTTAATATTTATTAAAATACATATTTAGCCGTAGCCTTGTCGCCTATATTGTGATGTGGGGGTTTTGGTTTACCACTCCACATTAAGTCAATAACTCCCATCAGGAACTTGAATGGCCTAGCTAGTTAACTTGAATTATTCGCCAAGGGACAGACAGAAACATAGGAATCGGCAGGACGAATTTGGTTGGGAGAAATGATCACACAATTAATTGATGAGTTTTATTTATTTGGCATAGCTCACGTGACCTGTTCGGTGATGTGGTGATGAAGATGATGTGCTCGGCTTGGTGATCTGCTCGTGGTTGCGTGGCGAATAAAATTCAAACGACATTCATAAGAACCAGAGCTGGGCAGCGCTACTTTGAAATGTAGCGGGCGCTACCGCTACCGCTACACCCACTAGATTGTAGCGAGCGCCACCGCTACCTCTACAGTAAAATGTAGCGCCGCTACAATGGCCAAAATTAGTGGAAATCTCTAAATATTTATCATTCTGCTATTGTTATTTACTCATAAATATTTAATGATAATAAAACATTGTCAAAACATATCAATGCAACTTTATTGCAATTAACCTAACCGAACTAGTACGGGTTAGATACAGTAAATAAAAGTTACAGTTATTTTTATGTTTTACCTTCCCTACATGGATGTGTACTTTAATCTACCAATCTAAAAAATTATCCACATATACATATAAAAAATCAGTCTTTTATTTGTATATATATATATGTGGATTCTTTTTGAAATTGGTAGATTAAAGTAGACATCCATGTAGGGAAGGTGAAACATAACAATAACTGTGTAAAAATAACTGTAAGCAAACTGAAACATGAAAAAATACCTGTAAGTGGTAACTGGTAACAACTTAACAGGTAACAAACAACTAGCATGTTGACACTATAGTAGCAGGCTGAGGTTGACAACATAATGCCGAAATCTTTCGTACAGTTTTATTCTGTAATTTATATTGTGTATGCATCATGCTGGTTTTTAAATAATATTTAATACTAATAAGTAAGAGCTAAAGGCTTTATCTATAAATGTAGCGGTAGCGCTGTAGCGGCAAAACCTCGTATCGCTACTTAAATATGTAGCGGGCGTTACCACTGCCGCTACATTGCCTTAAATGTAGCGCCGCTACCGCTACCGCTACTGAAAATGTAACGGCCGCTACTAGCGGCCGCTACATGTAGCGCGCTACTGCCCACCTCTGATAAAAACCAAGCGACAGAGAAACAGGTTTTTAGCAAGATGGTAGATATACTTTTAGGTTGATGCAGGTAAGTTGTCAATCTGTTATAATGGCTGATATAACTGGCAATTTGCAATGATGACTGAAGAAATAGTAATCTTTTGAATCGAGATTTAAACCACTGATTTTATCACTGCCGACTCGTACACTTTGATACAACTGATGCCAATGAGGACTCCTAAGATTCGCGGCAGAACCCCTGATTTCGACTAAATACTTTTTTCTTCAGATGAAATTAGAGAAGCGGAATCAACAGCAATTCTAAGCTAACAATAGATCTCGTAAATAAACCCTAGCATATATACAAATTGATGGTGAGAAATTAGGAATTTCTCACAAATGGACAATTTAACGTTGCAAATATGAATATGCTTTTATCTAACGCTAAAGAACTATACGTATGTCCGTTAAAAATGAACTTGAAATGACTGCTGTGTCATTTCATTAAATTATTCTTATACTTTGAGAAATTATGTACCTGCGGACAGCGATTCCGGACGCTTTGTTTACTCGCGTTATTTGGAAAATTTGGGGGCTTTGGTAGATTTTCGTTCATCAATTTTTTTATAAATGGCTTCGGAACCTTCCACCGGATTCATTGCTGTAAGTATTGATTTTCATAAATTATACATTTTAATGATGCCAAATAGGTGGGTTGGTGCTAATAACGTTAATTTTTGTTAGATTTGTGAATGCAGAATTCGAACTTGATTAGAAGAATATATATGCGTGTCTGACATCTTGAATTATGTGGAAAAATATATATTTAGATTTGAAATGCCTAGCACCATATCGAACCCGGTGGAAGTCGAGTAGCTACTTCAAACTTTTGTCAGTCGTGAAAAAATACGGTCAAATGACACGATTTTAAATCTTCTGTGAATAAGGCACGAAAAGGAAAAGAATCGGCGACAGGCCACATCGGCCTACACTGCAGCGCCGA